TGAATGATTGATTCTATAATGAATATTTGTTGAACTTTGGATTATTTATTAAGAATTTGATTTACGGGCAGTAATAACACTCACTACTTTTGCTTTCAATTATGGAAGAAATTAAACGATTTAGAGGTTGTTTAAGAACAAATTTTACTAAGACTGCGAATAATTTAAATGAACTTTTAAAGGTCCATATATTAGATTTAGATAAGATTACAGTTCTTTTCGCTCAACTTGATGATAAATGGCAAAAGATAAATACTTTGGATAAACAGGTATTGGAGTTATTGAATAGTAAAGATACCAAGTGTTCTAATGAAAAATTTGAAAAAGAAATCAAAACCACTGAATCATACAATGACAAATTTATATATTTTAAAACGAAAGTAACTAGACTTGAACAGAACTTTAACAAAAGGGAAAATAATTTTACCTAAAAATAAAAATGAAGCTGTTAAAAGGAAATTTAAACTTCCTAAAATTGAATTAAGAAAGTTTAATAGCGAGGCAAAAGAATGGCTGGGATTTTGGGGCCAGTTTAGAAAAATTCATGAAGCTCAGAAATTAGACCCCCGAAGATATATATCAGCATTTACTACAATGTACGGAACCTGGATCTAAAGCTAGAGATCTTGTAGAGAGTTTTCCATTTACTTCTGAAAATTATAATAAATCTATCGAATATTTGAAAGGTAGGTTTGGAAGAGACGATCTTTTGGTTGAAGTTTATGTGAGAGAACTATTTTGTTTAGTGATGAAAAATAGTAGTAATTCTGCGAATAAAATTTCTGTTTAAACTGTATGACAAAATAGAAACACATTTACGTGCGTTAGAAAGTTTAAAGGTTACAACCGAGAAATATGCCGCTATGTTGTATCCTTTTGTTGAAGCCTGTTTACCGGATCATATTTTGAGAATATGGGAAAGAAATTTGGACTCAGCTGACAAAGGTATTTCAACAAACAAATTAAAACTGTTGATGACATTTCTGAAGAAAGAAGTTGAATGTGAAGAGAGAATAACAATGGACAGACAAGGGTTTAATGTAGAATGTCAATCACAAACGAAAGCATTTCTGAAACATAAACATGGAGCGAGGAATGAAATACCGACAGCTGCGGGACTTTTAAACAGTGAATCGACAAAAGCAAAACCTATAAAAAAGGGAAATTGTATTTTTTGTGGTGAGAACTATGACTGTGTAGAACGTAAATCCACTAGATGTATGTCTTTAGATCAAAGAAAACAGATTTTGTTAAGTGCACAAAGTGTTTTAGCAAACATTATTTGCTATGTGTCCCAACGTAAGTGTTAATTAAGTGAGTGCAGGGAAACCGAAAAGGATAAACATGATCAAAAGGCCTAAATTACGGGGAATACTCTGACGAATCAGACAAGTATGCCTGAAGTACTGATGCAAACTCTGAAGATCCCGAATTCATGGAAATCAGAATCAACAGCTTATTAGAGCCCTCGTTACCTAAAGATTGTATCTTCAGTAACATTACTTTTGCAGAATATGCAGAAGCAGAAAATATTCTTTTAAAATTAATCCAAGAAGAAAGTTTTGAATCTCATGAATACAAAACAATTGTATCATTGCAACCTTTTGTGATGAGAAAGGACTGATATGAATTACAACAAAGATCTCTCAGAGAAACAACAGTAGAAATTTTCGATTTCCAATAATTCTTCCTCCCAACCATGTTATTACCAACCTATTAATCGAGCAAAAACACGAGGAAAATTCCCATGCAGGTATTCAAGCCTTAATGGCAATTCTGAGAGAACAATTTTGGATTCTCAAATGCTGACGTTCAGTTTGTCATGTAATAAAAAAACTGTGGTCGCTGTAGACGATTTAAGGTTTAAGGTTTGATGTAAACCCCATACCATTACCAGAAGAGAAAGTAACAGACTCTGCAGTTTTCCAGATTACGGGTGTCGATTTGGCTGGACCTTTATACCTTCGAGGTCAGAAGAAGGCATGGATAGTGATATTTACATGCGCCGTTTATTTGGCACTACACATTAAAATTGTTACTACTCTATCCACAGAAGAATTTATGCAAAGCCTGAGAAAATCCATAGCTCGGAGAGGAAGACCAAGTATTATATATTCAGACAATGGTACTAACTTAATGTTAACAAATAACCTTTTCCAGAAAATTAATTGGAAAGAAGTGGAGGGAAAAGCCACAATTAAATGGAAATTTAATCCTCCTACATTGGCATGGTGGGGAGGATGGTGGGAAAGACTGATTACAATTATAAAGGACATGTTGAAGAGTATTTTAGACAGGGCAAACCTAGATTACGAAGAATTACTCACTGAGTTATATGAAGTTGAAAATGTCATCAATTCCCGTCCTTTGACATACATATCGGAAGACATTCAAGATTTAATGCCTTTAAATCCAAATATGTTTTTAAGGGACAATGTAGAAGGTTCTACGATTGAATTTGATCCCGTAAATGGAACAGAGCTGAATAAGCGTTGGCAGTATCGTCAGAAACTCTGAGAAGATTTAAGAAAAAGATTTCACTGAATACTTAGAACAAATTAAAAATTCTAAGAAAGCCAGTAAAATCAAGGAACAAGTGAAATTAGGAGAAATAGTTTGGGTTGGGAGTAAAAACAGCAAACGGATTGATTGGAAGCTAGGAAGAATAATTAAGCTGTATCCAGGGAAGGATGGACACTTTCGTGTTGTTCAAGTAAAAACAAGGAATGATGACATAGTAAGACCCTTGCAGAATATTTATCCTTTAGAAGTGGGTGAACAAGCAAACGAAATGACGGTTTTTGCAGTCTATTCCGGATGGAAGAGTCAAAGCAGATCTAAAATCTCCACCAGTTACTTCCAGAAGTGGGCGAATAATACATAAGCCAAAGAGACTTGTTCTGTGATATTGAGTACAATTCCATCATACTCAAGGTGGGGATATTGTTATGAAATCACGAGCTGATAGACAGAGGGCGCTGAATAACAGCACTCTAGCAATGCAGATGCTTTTTAGATAAAAATAAACATTGAGACTGATAACATTTGAGAACTGATGAACGAAAAAAATGGACCCATGTAAAAACAAATGAACTGTAACAAAATTTTGGGTGATGCATATATTTTGTAAATAGACTGTAATAAAGTTTGTTCTAATAGCTTCACATTATTGGATTTGTCAAGATCTACCTAGCAGTCAGACTGAATGTAAGTACAAAGTAAATTCGGTTTATTAATCTGATATTTTGTATTTTTACGTAACGTAGTAGTAAAATAGAGATAAAATTTTGTCACAGTCTGGCACTTGACATACTACAAGTGAACTTACATTAAAATTTCAACTGTAAAACATCAAAATCCTTGAGATTAATATTTTCTTATTTGAAAAACTGATACCAAAATAAAATCTACACGCTGTAGGGAGACTATGATTATGTACATTTTTAATTCTTTATTGTGCTAGATTTCTAATCTACTGTGGTGTATTTGCATTGATATGTAAGGTTATTTTGGAGAGCTGAACTGTAAGTCTTGAGAAAACAACATTCCAGACTGGAGCTGCATATACAAGAGGTTTTAAACTTTTTCCAGTAATGTATGTGTTCATGCTTTATTTATTGCATATTTTTTCAAAATTTTTACTCAAAATTTAGATTGCCATAAACTGCACGAAAAACTTGGTTCCTTGTCAGTCTTCATATGCACTGAAATACCGTCAGTTCTGATGTAATTATAACTTTGGATACCTACACGATAAAAAATATGTTGTAAATTGCATATAAAAACTTAATTTTTTTAATTTTGTTTCAATTTAACTCATACTTTGAATATTCAATTAAGATGATAGATTTTAAGTTCACAATACAGGTAATTTTTTTTTACTCAATGAAAGTATTTTTATGGGATTTCATGGATTGCTTCTATAATCCTGATCCAAAGTTCATCAGCAGAATGTTGTTTTGAACACAGGTAAATATTTCATATGAAACAATATAGAAATTGGTGGAGCAGGGTTAGATCAAGCAAATGTTTAGCAATATTAATGTACTTACCTGAAAAGACGGCATTCAAAATTTCCCGCAAGCTCACAAAACTCTAATTTAGGAAAATTGTATACATAAAAATTTCATGTACAATCTATAGTATATTTCTATCATTTTTGCATCTAAAGTAGTGTACTTACATCTAAAGTAATGCTTAGAGTTAGTTATCGATATATGCAAATTAATGCCAAAATAGTGATTTTACAAATACTTCTAAAGGTCCTGATTTCGGAAAAGCTGCATATACACTAAACTGAGTATTTGTAAATGGAAATTAGTTAACATGAAAAATTGAGACTTGCATGATTAATACATGTAACCAATTTTTTTTTTTTTTTTCCAGCTTTTCACATGTTTGCAGCAAAGCAGAAAAGTTAAAACATAGACAGAATACCTTTCTAAAAGACATTTGCTCAGTGAGGAAGTTATATAAGCAACTTGTCAGGATAATTTAGAAGTCAAACAACAAAAATCAGTGTTGTATTTTCCAATTTTCACAGGACTAGTTTCGATGATTTTACCGAACCATCATCCTCAGTTGCAAAAGCACAAATGAACAAGATAAGATATAATGATAGAAAGATAAGAAGCTCGGACAGGAGATAAGCTATGGTGCTCTGTTGATGAAACAGAACTAAAACATATTTCTTTAAGGATGAAAGCAAATGGATGGATTAGGGTGGTAACAGAACAGAAGATTTTTTTGAATGTAAAATGCCTCTAGAAATCCAGTTACCAAAGAAGATGTTTTTGAATAATTTTCGGCGCAATTATATCAGCATGTTATTTATCTCAACCGTCAGGTGTTTTAAATTTATATAATTCATATAATAATATTCAGCATTACTTTTTTCTATTTTTTATTTGAAAATAAAAGATTCAGTATTGAATTATATGTAAGAATAAATATCAAAAAACATTTTTTTTTTTTTTTTTTTTTTTTTTTGAAAAACTAACCTTGTGCACATGCATAGCTGCATCAATTTTAGGATTTGATGTTAGCATTGTAGCTAAAGCGAGCCCAACAGCTCCTCGCAATCCTCCCCATGACAAGATGATACTCTGTTTCCAGTTTATACTATATCCCGTGTATTTAAGAATGGGATAAAATAATATAATCATCAGTGATCTAAAATATAATTTGATAAGATAAATGTAGTTTATATTATTTAGTAAATAAGAAAATAAAAATAAAACTAGCATATGTGTAGACTACATATAAAGATAAACAGTCAAATATAAATCAAACATTGGAATTATATCTTTTATTTCCTATTAATTTTTTTATTACCTCATTTTACCTTTATTTTCAAAGTTCTTTTTATGGTAACTCCATACGCTTTCTTGTTACAAATTATGATATTTATTCTCATGCTTTGTTTCGATGCAAATAAAAGATTACCAATCGTACTGCCTTTGGTTGCATAGTCTTTTGTTTTAGCAGTTTCATGTATAATTTGAGAAGGCTTTTATACACTAAATTTCTGTTTTCGAATAAATCAAAATCTTTCACGTGGGTCATCTTGTATTCTTGCATATAGTACGTTCCCAATATAATCAATTTTTAAAGAACATATTTCTGTCAATAAGCTAATCACCTTGTACATGATAATGTAATTGTCTTAGCCATTTTAAACTAATTGCCTTATATATGAACAATATGAAAATATTGTATACTATTTTGAACATCTTGACTTGTTACACAGAAAAGCATTATGTTATTATAATTTGGATGATACAAATACGCTGTACCGAAAGCACTGAAAAACGTTTCACAAATTTAAAGTCTTTTTTCTAGCAATTTCAATTAGTTCTACCTTTCAATTAATCCATGTTTACTTCAGAAAAAAATTAAATTCAAAACTTTTTATCTTCTCTTCAATCAAAAAGCTCAAAAAATTCATTGGAAAAGCTGAAAATTTTTGTTGCTAAGAACAATATTAAAAGTAACACTGTATATACTCTGTATAATTGTTATCAACTATAATAGCTTAGATTTATTAAAATCAACTACTTAAGAAGTATGATCAAGATTTTTTTCATGTTATTGCTTATCCGAGTTTCTCGAAATGTAAGAATGTCCATGAACAATCATGAGCAGGATAAAAGTTACATCAATCACGCATAAAAATTCTTTGGCATTAGTAGCATAACATGACTTTCTCCAATTTCAAAACAATGTAACTTCCAACATGTAGAAAAGAGAGTGGCACTACTAATCCCTTAAATCAATATCTCAAACAACTTTTATATACATTTTAAAGCTCAGCATAAATAAAAGAAATGTGAACCACAATTTTAAAAAAAAAATAATATTAAAGAAATAAGTTTTGTGAATCTTTTTGCTAGGTACTGCTAGATTTTTAACTACATGAAATTTTAAAATATGTTACATAATTATCAGTAATAAAATCTGAATTTTTTTCACTTGCATATTAAAACTCTGATAAATTAACTATGATCTACAGTACAAAATACCAGCGAGCAAATGCAAGTTTAATGGAAGGTCAGTATTGAGATTATATATATCTTTTGTTTGCTGCTCCTTTGACTTTTTAAGTGAATATAGTTCGATATCTACATGGACAAAGTCAAGGGACTGCACAATGCCTAGTTTGTGCAATTCTCTGGGGTTTTTTAAGTGAAAATACGTCGATCTGTACATGGATAAAGTCAAGGGAGTGCGCAATGCCAAGTTTGTACAATTCTCTGATGTTTTTTTAAGTGATAATAGCTCGATGTGTACATGGATATCGAGTTTGTGCAATTCTTTCTTTGTCTTGTTATTTTGGCTTTGTGTAGAGGCGATATTTGGTGCAAAAAATCGCTACTACACAAGCCAAAATAACAAGTCAAAGAATTGCACAAACTCAGTATCCAGGTATCGCCAAAAATCACCAATTTCACAAGAGGGTACATAAAATATTTTTACAAATTAAAAAAAAAAAAAAATATTGTTCTTATTAAACATTCTTTCAAGTAGTGCTAATTTTTGTAATATTTTCTTTATTCTGCAGAAGACATAATTTCTTGTTCAGTTATAGGGGCTGAAAGAATGTCACTTTTACATTAAATTAAACAAATAATTTTTTAACAAGTTTTAATTTTTAATCAATAATATAATCACCCTCGTTATCAATAACCTTTTGCCACCTAGTGTGCAGATTTTCAATCCCAGACCGATAAAAATCAATTGGTTTTTGAGCAAAATATCTCTAGATGGCATTTTGGACATCATCCAGATTTTCAAATCTTTTGCAACTACAAAATTTTTTTGCCATTAAGAAAATGTTGTAGGAATCGGAATAAATGGAAATCCAAAGGTGCGATATCGGATGAGTATGGGGGGTGAGGCAATACCTCCCGCCCAAATTCATTAATTTTTTCCAATGTTCGTCTTGCACAGTGCAGTCTTGCATTGTCATGTTGAAGAATGATGCCTTTTCTGTTGACAATCACCGGATCTTTTCCGATTAAAGATTGGTTCACTCGATTCAGTCATTCACAATAAAGGTCTGCATTAACAGTTTGTCCAGGTTTCAGCAAATCAAAATGAACAACTCCCCGAATACTCCACTAAACACATAGAAGTGCCTTCTGGGGATGTAAACCCAATCATTTAGCGAGAGGCACTGCCTTTTGCATTTTGGATTATCATATATAGGACTCATTTTTTGTCTCCAGTAATCAAAGGATCAAAACATGGTTCTGTATGGTGCCGTTGTATGCGATAGATCGGTTGGGTTTGTTCTCTTCAGACAGATTATATGGGGGGACCTACATACCTCCTCTACTTATTTTTCCAATTTGCTTTAAATGTTCTTGTGGATGGTCGACCAAGGTTTGGTTAAGGGTGTTTGACAGTTCCTCGATTGTTTGACATGGGTTTGCTTCCACTTCTGCTCTAGCATGACATAGTCTAACGTTGTTGGTCTTCCTCATCGATAAGAGTCAAAGAGATCAAAATCACCAGATTTTAACTTGGAAAACCACCTTTGGCATTTACGAATGTCTAATGCACGTGGATAAACATCACAAATGTTTTTGGTTGCAACTGTTGTGTTACTTACCCTTACGAAACTCAAAAAGCATACAATGTCGGATATGCTCTTCTGTTATTTGGCTGGCCATTTCACCCCAAATTGGAGGAAAAAAAAGTTTAATATTGAATTATTTAGAAGTGAGCAAGTCACAATAACCTTAAAATGACTTTGTCATGGCTTCAAGACACACAATGAGCTGACAAATGACAATCAAATATCGACAAGTGCACAAACTACATTACTTTCCGGAATACCCCTAATACATTGCAGAAGTCCTGTAATTGCTGTGTCGAGGATTCCAACCAACTTGTCAATCGAAATTTTTTTCATTTTTGATAAACTCTCTGTCACTTTCTTCACTATCAGTACCGGTATTTTCTGCATCTAGAATCAAGCTACAGATTTTACCATCCATTAATTGATTGATGATTGAGGAGTATTGTCATCACAATGAAAAACTGCTTTTATATCATCTTCATTTATTACTGCTTCTCTACATTTCTTTAGAAAATCCTTTGATTCGAAAATTTCACCTTTGGTTTGCGAATATCAAAACCTTTAAATTTGCTGCTAGATCATAAAATTAGTATCTTCACTATAATATTGGTCGTATCATGAGATTGGGACTAAAACAAGTTGCTCCGCTCATTTTATCTTGTTCTATCGCACTCTGAGAAATTAGCATGATTGCATTAGTTAGTTATTTATTATACTAGTATATTCCACATTGCTTAAGGTTATCAGAGTCGCGCATACAAATTCCCATTACTATTTCGCTATTGAGGGCCGGACTAGATAGATTTTGCTGATGCTATCGACTGTTGGTCCTAAATTCTGCTACCAAGTGCCTCCCTTTGTCTTCCCTAAATTCTGCTGCCCGGTGTGGTCACATGAGCTTGGCCACTGGCTCTGGGTTTATGTGAATAACAAATCAGTTATTCTTAATTCATATAGCACTAAATATAATCTTTTGGCCTATAAGAAAAATCTATTTTTAGCATATCGAAAGAAGTTTTCGCTCAATTTTACCTCGTCAACATTTCTTATGCATTTAGCTTAAATTTGTAATCATTGCCAGGCGTAATGTCAATGTTAAAAGTTACCATACTCTTTATTATTCAATTACTAACATAAAAAAATTGTTTAGACATTGCTACTCCTCCCTTCACAAAGACCACAAAAAAATCGGGGTAAATGTCTATGAGCTCATCATCCATTTTCTCACACGGAGAAACAGCAGGTCTATCTGGACAGACTTCCTCTTCTAAGGCAGCAAACTGGTTTGAAGTCACTACCTCGAAAACAACATCACTAAAGCTGTTATGTGCTGATAAACATGTGGTGATGAAAGCAAAATATAATAAATAATAATTCACCAGGTTGGCATGAGGGATATAAAATATTAGTAGGCAGTAAATCAGTGATGTATCTATGAAGAATGTTTTGGTTTGAGATGTATACCAAACAGATACGGATTCGAACCAAATTCTCGATCATACAAATTTATGCTAAAATGGTTGTTTTTTCAACAGAGTTTGTAGCCACATTTTAGTTAAAAAAATAAGCACCTATAAGCACTCTTCAGGCCACATTTAAGAAAAAAAATCCAGCACCTGTCTAATTACATTATTAACAATGCATAACTTTAAAAGCAAAAATAGACTGTAATTTAAAATATGAGAAAATTCAGCATTTAGTAAGAGAGAATGAGCATTACTTAACATGGAAAACATTTACTTTCTTTTTTTTTATAGTAAAAAAAAGTTCATTTACAGAACTAGTTTCCACTCAGAAGGAAAAAAACTATGCAGAACTAATCATATTAAAAGATTAATGATAAAATTGGGGTTCAAAATAGTAGGAAATAAGTACCATTTATTTTTCCACTCAATAATATTTATAATTTACTTAAATCAAAATCCTGATCATTTTCTAAATTTTAGTGTACAGTTACAAAGTCTTTAATCAAGACTTCATAATCGGATGATCTATAATCGGACTCAAGCTACAAACTTTTGCGCACGTGTAAAGCAATGCACTTCGCATGCGCATGCGCATAATAATACAAAGGATGGTATAAGTTAGACTAAATTACTAACATCTATTTCAGTTAATGTTGCAGATTGTGTTCCTTATTCTTGTAATTGGTTCCCGCTTATTATTTTTTGCAGACTGTTAGAGCAATTTTATAGAAAGTAAGCTTGAACTTTTGATTATGTCAAAAAGATTTTCCGATTCTGGAGCTGCCAAAAGATCTACAAAGCAAAAGCATTTTTCAATGTTCATCAAACAAACAATGGAATTGCTGCAAAAAAAATGGATAAAGGCATATTCTTTGTTTGCCTAGCCATTATGAAATCTCTTTATCAATTTCACGCTGCTCTGCAGGGAGGAACGTCGCGGTGCGCAATGAACAGGAAGTTGATCTGTCAGCACTATCCTCATCTTTACAGCAGATGTTTACATTTTATTAGGCTTATAATTCCTTACTAAATGTATTATTTCATCTCGATGTACTCCATCTTTGATATGATTTAAATCAAATTCCTCATTATAATCACGAATACACATCAAATATTTCTGGTGCAATTTCTAATTTCGATATGCATAATGTATACTTTACACATGCGAATATATGTTTAAATAAAGAAACAATAAAATAAGCTTTTTTTTTTTTTTATTTTGATACTCGTTAGATCATAATCTGCTCTTATTCATAAAGTACAGTTTCAATTTTTACTTCATAATTTCTGCATTCCATCTTACCAGATTTAAATTGATGATCTATAATCCGGAAAAACGCCTAATCTAGAATCGCTGAAGTCCTGACAAGTCCGGATTAAAGACTTGCAATTTGCAAACAAAGTAATTTAAGTAAAAATAAGTGAAAAAAGGAACCTTTCTGAAATCAGAAGACAGGAAATTGCTTCATGCAGTCATCTTTTAACAGTAAAAGCTTACCTAAACGGCATACTCAGAAATTGCCGAATATCTGAAAATTCCAGATAGTCAAGCGTAACTAATAAAAGAAGAAGGGGGTAGATTGTAGCCGTTTTTTAGATTTTTCAGCTAAATTTCAGTTTTTGATATTTCGATATGTACATCATATAAAAAATAGCCCAATGGAACAGAAAAATAATCTGTTTTTTAGCAAGGACAGTAAAACTCTTTATCTCTGCAACATATCGCAAACATTATTGCACAATACACTCACGTTAATTCTTTTACACATGATATTATGCAATCGGAATCGATAGCTGCTGGTATTCGGAGAATAAATAACTAAATAAAGAAAAATGCCACTTTACTTCGTCCAGTTTTCCCCATCATGTGCCCATGTAGCATATTTATCACTGAGGAGGACACGTCACACTCGGCATACTCATATTGATTAATAAGGAGATTTACCAATCTGGAGGGTTTTTCATTCTAATTTTGAACAGACTGCATTAAATTTCCAGAATAGAACCATTCTTCGTTTGGGTTGGTAGACCGCAGAACTTTTAGTCCTATTCATTCCAGGCTGGAAAGTGACCAAAAAAAGGAAAGTCCATTGCTTGCTTTGCTGCGAACAGTAATGGTTTCAATATTTGAGATTTTGTGGAGAAAGGGAAGAACCCTCAACTTCTGTACTGTATAATGCATTGCCCCCCCCACAAAGAAATTTACTATTTGATTACTTTCCTTTATTTGAGCCATTCCGAATATTATTCCTTAGAAAACTCATCTGTGTTAAAAAAACACTTACCTATTTTTGAAGTTTATCTATACTTCAGCAGTTACTGCAAATATAATATTATAAATATATTTATACATATACTCATAATATAAGCATATGGATCATAATAAACGTGAATATAAATTGACCATGCGGAACGAGAATGTAAATTATTAAAATCTTGATAGAAATTCAAACGTGTGTAGTATTGGTTGGGAGCAAAAGGATACGGAATGTAATGGAATTTTCTACCGCTTTCGCAATTCTTTGACAAAACAGAACAACGTGCACCTGTCTGTACTCGCATGCACCAAAGGTTATGTTAATACAGAGAAAGAGGCAAAAAGCTATTTCTGTGAGTATGATTCACCATCTGACGTTCCATATAAGGAAGACAAGTTGTTTATTCATCTTCGGCTTCGGCACGGGGAAAAAATGTGCTTTCGTTAAAAAGAAAAAAAGCACTAAAAGCAAAAAATAAGCACCTATAAGAGCTTTTATACTTTATTTTCAAATATAAGGACTTATAAGTACTTGTAAGGACCGCTACGAACCATTCATTAACGAGGCATTTTATTTAGTACCGAAGTGAAATTACGAATCGGGACTCTCCAAGTATTTTATTGTGTGCGGGAAAGAAATGAAACATACGTGTGTAAGAAAAGCATAAAACAAAAATTTTTTTAAATAATTTTTAAAAAAAAATGAAAATCTGAAATGTTTCAGATTCGTAGGAGGATTACATCATTCAAAATTCAATGGCTCTATGTACCCTTGTTTTATCACAGTGCGAGAAATATACATACATTTATGCAAGATTTTTCATTATTTAATTTCTTTGAATGTGGTGATAATACTTTGGGGCAACAGTTTGAAAAGCGATTCGCCGTTTATAGTGAATAGACGCAAAATCGCAAAACGAAAACAATAGTCCTTCAGGGACAAAGCCCTTTTGGACTAAAAACAGTTGGTGGTGGCCATTGAGTTTCGGATTTTACATCATTCCAGATATTGGATGTCCGGATCTCGGACTTTGTACTGTATATAAGTTTTGAAAGATTCCTACGTTATTTAACTAACAGTTGCCATATAGATGGTACATTAATGAGATAACTATTTTTGCACAATATTTTTATCAGGATGAAAGAATATTTAAAATATATCTCCTAAAAATGTTATCTTTACAAACACTTCAAGCATAATTAAACTTAATTTGAACTATAAATAAACATAGGAAAGTGAAATTAATTGATATCCAGGATAACTAAAATGCTAATACATTATTAACCAATTTGAGACTTATTACACACTGTGCGCATAAGGCATTTTGTCATCACAAAGACTAGTTACACACAATGATAATATAGTCATGGAAATTATATAATTTCATAACAGTGTAAAGCCTAAACAATCACAAAAGTTAAAATTTATTTTAGTTTCAGGATTGATCCTAAAATAAGAAATCGATGACTAAGTGCAGTGAAATTGCAAGAAATGAATAGTTAACAACGAAAGTGATGATTTCTTGCTCTAATGGAAAGGTGGAAAAAGGCAAAAAAAGGTTGTAAACAATAACTGCAGTGATGCTGAACATGGAGGTACAGATAGAGGAACAAACCCAAACGATGATTTCTTGCTCTAATGGAAAGGCGGAAAGGCAAAAAAAGGTTGTAAACAATAACTGCAGTGATGCTGAACATGGAGGTACAGATAGAGGAACAAACGCTAATGAATTTAGTGAAATTATTGAAGAAAATGATAACGAACATTACAATGAAAGGGAATTGAACATAATGAAAATACTGAATGATAGATATATGACAAAGATTTTTAAAATATCATTTTTGAAGAAAATCAAAAAAGTCTAAAAAAAAGTTGTTGAAAGGAAGTGAGCCATACAACTTCCTTGAGCTGTTATTTAATGATAAATTTTTGACCTATGACTGAAAATGAAACAAATAAGTTGCTGAAAAGATCTTAAGAGGTAAATGGAAGAAAATAGTTCTGTTTTTGGATTCGCTACTATACATTATTACATGTCCCAAACTAGAAAATTATTGGAATTATCAGCTGTTATTGTTTCTGAACAGACAATCACACAGAGTGTGCTATCATTTCATTTATATGAAAATAGCGTTTAATTTCTCAATGCTCCAAAACTTTTTTTTTCCTGTTAAAAAATGCAACAAAAAAAAAAGTTTTTTTTTCACTCCTGGGGATTACCTTTAAAATTATTCTTCATCTCAAATGAGTTAAGATCATTACACAGAAATGAGAATCTGTAGGATAAATGGAAAATGGGATGCTCAAAAAATACTTCCCCAATAATATTTTACTGAAACATTATATAGGTTAATGAGAAATATTTTACAATAGTATTATCAATAATATAATTGAAATAATAGTTGTCTTATAGTTCATTGAACAAAATTATTACTTCACACCAGCTGACACACTGTTCACAAAAACATAATAAGATATGATCACTTGAAAGAGGATTGTTCATTAGTTTAAACTACATGAACATGTTAATATATTGTAGTACATACTTTAGTTCAATGCTGTTACACTTTTGTTTTTCCTTTCAAAATACTGAAAATATTTTCCATAGTTTAAAAACTGTAAACTGAATAGAGTTCCAGCACTTTTAGATCAGAAAAATGAGTTCTATTGTATAATTATAAGCTTATAATTTTATTTAGGTAGGCAAGAAGCTATAAAATATTTTCTTAAGCATTCATCATCAAGAAAAGTAAATTAACAGAAAAAAAAAATGGAATGAACTAAATATAGATATTTGCATTTTTAACCTTGTATTAATATAAGAAAAAATGCATTACAAGAATTTGAAATAAAATATTCACTTACCTGAATACTGTAAGAGCTAAGTAAGTAACAAATACAAGTCCAAATTCTCTATAATCTCGATGTTGGAAAAGACTAATACTAGCAAGTATCCCAACAAATATAAATATTAGAGTATTAGCATACACAGCTAACAATCTCCAGTCACTGAAAAGAAAATATAACATTAAATATATTAATTTGTATTTTACACATTACATATACAAGGCCTGAGTGAAAAGTTTTAAGACTGCCTCTGTTTTTCTTTCTGATATTAGATATGGCAACTTGTACTGGATTTTTTGACATACAAAGTCTGCTCTAAAGCAACTGCACAAATTAAAAGACAAGTGATAAAATAAAAAAGTAAAAGGCTGGACATACATTTAGAAAGAGTGACATCTCAACGCTTGTTAAAGCTAATTTAACCGGTTAGTTTGTCATCTGCATATCAGAATGTCAGTGTCATTTCCAGTTGCTGAGAAGATATGGTATAAAACATTTTGCTTCAAGATGGAAGAATATTATAACATTAAATTTTGTTAACATTAAGTAAATCTGCTGCTGAAGCATTAAAGATAATTTGAACAGTATATGGTGATGCATCAGTATGAAGAACGCATGAGTGCACAAGTGGTAAAATTGCTTGCAGACACAAATGTGTTGAGGATGAAGTTGGATGCCAAAATCAAAGACTAAAGTAATGCTGATTGCATTTTTTTATTACAAATGACTTATTCACCATGAATTTGTCCTTAAAAATCAATCAACCAGAATTTTTACAAAGAGGTTGACTTTCAATTAAAAAACACGTTAAGGCAAGTTAAGAAGGAGCCTTTGGGTTCTGGGCAACAGTTTGTTTCATATGATGATGCTAGACCCCCCATCCATTATCTGTACAACATCTTGCTACTGAATTGCAGGGATACATCCCCCATCATATTCTCCTGACTTTTTGCAGCTGACTTTTCGCTTTTTCTGAAGCTTAAGATGACCATGAAAGGGCATAGATTTGAAAATGTCTTGGATATTAAATCAAATGTCTCGCGTATTTTGCAAACAGTTTCAGTGCCTGTAAACAGCATTTTGATGACCTGAAGAAACGCTGGAAAAACTGCACAGATTGCTCTGGCAATTATTTTGAAGGAAATAAATTTATTTGAAAATTGGTAATCTTTTTCTTTCTTATAGAAAATTGTCTGTATACTTTATGGGCACTGTAACGCACTGAACTTCCGTGATGGAAAAACTGAGACCAGTTGTCTTTTTTAATATTTATTCTGAAACTTAACATCAGTTTTCTTGGTTAAATAAACAAAATCATAGCACAATAACAGAAGAAGAAAGACAGCAGCTTTCCCATCACATGATGAAACTTACTCCTCTGGCATTTCTCAGACAAAAGGCCTTTTTGTACACTTTTCAACTGCATCTACAGAAACCACCGAAGAGGCCAAATCCTTAACGAGTCTTTTCCTGGATTCCTTTCTGATCTTTGTAGCAGACACTGGGGTATGTTCCCATGAGAAAAAGGAAGTTCTCTGATATAAACCTGATGTTTGTTACAACCCCTTCCATCCTCAAGAGTAGGGGAAGTTGGCTGTAGAAGTCCGGTATCTCTCACTTAATTATCACTACCAGGGACACATAAAGTCATCAGAAAACAATAAATACAAAGCACATATATTTACACTATGCTGGGTTAAGTACCAAGGATAAAATATGAAACTTATATTAAGGTCAGTATAAAAAGCATATACAATCAAAAGTCGTTAATTCGGACACCCATAATTCAGAATGATCTATAATACGGACATCAAAACTAAACTTATGCGCATGCGCCGCGGTGACACATGCGCACAGGCGTTCGTGTGCGTAAACCTTTTACGACTGCGATATGAGTGTCGCAATGCAGAATAGTTGTCGCGTGCGCGTGTTAGTAAATGTACGTATAGGCTAAAAAATCTAATATCTATTCGTTAATGTTGAGATGCGTGTTCTTAATTTTTAATTGGATCGGCTATTATTTTTGCAGACTGTCAGAGCATTTTATAAAAGTAGCTTACAACTTTCGATTATATCAATAGAATTCGATATATATTTGTTAATATGTAAAAGATCTAAAGCGAAAGTTTTTTGAAATCCAAATCGTTTATCAATTCACGCTGCTCGGGAAGGGGAATTTTAAGGCTCTCGTAGTTTGGCCATGTAAATTAAACACACTGACAAGAAATCCTATAAATCCCAAGTATTCATATCCGAATGGGGTCTGAGTAGGGAACTCGGAATTTATTGATGGAGAATAAATACCCGAAAGTTAAATTTTCTGCAAAATATGTACAACTTATAGCTAAGTGATGAAAAAGGGAAGCAACAGAATTTTTACAATTCTTAAAACAAAGTGTGCCTTTGAGAACGAATTTTCTAACTGCTTGATAATATGTTGGCTGAAAGCCTCCGTCATAGCTATTGCTGTAAATAATTTATTCTTCACAGGGATGTTTGTAGGCCAAACTTGAAAAGCACTAAAAACATCGGAATAAAATGAAGCTAACTTTTGTTTAGTCGATGAATGATTTAAAGTGAGTGGAAGCAAACCGATGAAGGTTATCGTAACGTAGTACTGAAGTTGGTGTGTTACGTGTACCAGAATGTCGAGAAACGAGAGAATTGCAAGTTCTGTTCAAACTGACTGAATAGCAGGATCATAGAATTCATTGTTGAAGAACTTATTTAATCATCTTCATACCTTCAACGGTAAAGGATCGTCTACGACGGAACCATCGGGAAGTTTGTTTTGCAGTGATTCTAATGTGATGTTTCAACATTGTGCGGGGCTTCCCAGGCTAATCCCAGTAGTTTGCTCTTACCCTTTCCTGCCCCCTTTGCTCTTGGGCTCCCCAGGATATTTCAGTCTTGCTGTAATATTTATTTTGGAAAACAAGTTTTGTTTTCCAAAATAAATATTACAAGCAAACTGAATTAGCCAGCCCCCTCAAGCTGTATCTACATGTATGTTGAATCAAAATTGTTTGAAACTTTAAACTTCCCGGTATGGTTCTGCTACGTAGACGATACTTTGACCCTGCTTGAAGGTAATAAAGATGATTAAAATAAAGTTCTTTCAACAATGAATTTCTATCTGATCCTGCTATTCAGTTCACTTTTGAAATTGTGACTTGCAATTCTCTTCCGTTTCTTGATATATTCTGGTTACAAGTAACACATCCAACTTCGGTGCAACGGTTTACCGTAAACCTTCATAGATTTGCCTTCCACCACACTTTAAATCATGTTGTCCAACTAAGCAAAAGTTAGCTTCATTTTATTCCTATGTTTCCCGTGCTCTTCAAGTTTGCTCCAAACTAGCCCTGATGAAGAACTAAATTATTTAACAGCAATAGCTATTGACAGGGGCTTTTCACCCAACATTATAATCAAGCAGTAAAAATTCTCATCTCCAACACACTAAAAGGCACACTCTTGTTTTAGGAGATTAAAAAAATTCTGTTGTCATTCCTTCTTTCCATCAATTAGTATCAAGTTGCACATATTTTGCAGAAATTTAACTTTCGGGTTGTTTATTCTCCCATCAATAAAATTGAGTTCCCTACTCAAGGACCCCCATTCCGGATATGAACTGGGGTATTTATAGGATTCCTTGCCAGTTGGGTTTAATTTACATTGGCCAAACTAAGAGAGCCTTAAAATTTCGCGTCAAGGAACATGAGGCATATGTTAGAAAAAGGAAACACAGAAGTCTTCTGTGCTCAACATTGTTGGTCCGAAAACATACTTTCAATTTTTCTGCTGCCAAAATTATTCAAAAAACTTCTTCCATTGGAGAACTCGATTTTCTAGAGGCATTTCACATTCAAAAAATTTTCTGTTCTAGTTAACGATCCTAATTCCAATCCAATTGGCCTTGGCCTTTAAAGAATTATGTTTTAGTTCTGGTTTCACCAACAGATGGTGCCACTTGCTTATTCTTGTCCAGGCTTTCTTATCTTATCTAATCATTATTTCCTATCTTGTTCATTTTCGGTTTTGCAGCTGAAGATGGTGGTTCGGTAAAACCATCGAAACTAGTCATGTGAAAATTTTGAAAATGTAATGCTGATTTTGTTGTTTGACTTCTAAATTAATATATCTATGTATAAAAGCTATATACCAAAATAATCTAAATTTGACATACTTGTCACATCTTACATACATAAGATCAACATCTTATATATAAGATCTTAAAATTATTAAAATGGTGAAATGTGATGGAAAATTTAGACAATACATGGTAAAAAATTTAGAAAATAAGTAATTCTGATTTTCAAAGTCTTCTTCCAAAAATAAAGTATATAATTAAGACAAGAATAAAGATTTTACTAGTCATGCAGCTAAAGCTAGTATGAGAAATTTGAATGAAAACCTAAGTATCTGATAAAACTACATGCCTAAGATAGAGGTTTATCAATAAATTGCAAACAACCATAACTTTTAACAGGTTGGGAAAAAAATGAAAAAAAAAGAAAAAGAAAAAAGAAAAAGAAAAAAAAAATCTTGTATATAAAGTTTATAAAAATGTAAATTTAAAAATATTGTCACAAAAATTATAGAAACTTGTAAATATTAGCAGGTACGTTTACACTAGTTTTAAAAAATAAATCTGATAAATACTCACGTATAAACTAAGCTTTCACTTTTTGGACTTATACACATTTTGTTTCTACTTAACGTAATTCCATATAGAACAACTGCAACAACAGCTGATATTCCAAGAAACCTTTCAGCAGTTAAATATGTTGCATAAGCAAAAACAAATGTGATAGTCATTTCTGAAACAGGACTAATGTATATTCTCACAAGAATCCATTCAGAAATTTTTGCCAAGGTATACCCAAAAGCTGGTGCTCCAAAACAAGTTTTACCTAATTCAATTAGTGAATCTGTAACTAGAAAAAAAAAAAAGAAAAAAAAAACAAGAAAAGATATATATCAGTTATATTAATCAGAGAAACATAAGACTATTATATCATATATTATGTTACCTTATTCTTTTAACCATGAATATTAAATATGAAAATATTCCTAATATTTATATAATTAATATAAATCCTAATATAGTTGAACCACATTAAAATGAAATTAAAGAGACTAGATTTTGGTGAACCGAATCCATTCCAATGAGAAAAATAGATTATCTCATCAAAGATGTGTAATACTTTAATGATGAATAAAGAAACAACTGATTGGCATTGTATACCGACCAAAAGAAGTTAATAAAACTTAGTGGCATAACAGCCCTAATGGACCAAGACCTGCAGTGCCCGAAATCTGCTTTCTTGGCTGTGGGCCCAAGGGTGAGTAAGCATATGTCCTGAACAAGTGGTCAACTTGTCGCAGGACCCCCAGTGTTTAGTCCCCAAGCAAACTTGGTACTCATTTTATCGACCCAAGAGATGGAAAAGCAAGAGATGAAAGGCTGAGTTGACCTTGCCCAGCCCAGGAATCAAACTCCAGACCTGTGGTGCTGCTGTGCGATGCGCTAGCCACTGCGCCACCAGGCCTAAAAGAAGTTAATAATAAATCTAATTTGTAAAAAGCATACTATAAGGATTTCGTTGCAATTATTGTTATGCACAGTAATTAAATTTATTATTCTCCAAAGTGTTCAGATAAAGGCAAGAATTTGCCTTTATCTGAACCATTTGTCCAGATACTGGTAGATTAAGGCTTCTTTGAATGGCAAATCATTTCAAAAATGCTTCTTAACCTCTGTATGCTTCAAGTTTGTCATCATATCCATTTCTTTTCCGAGTGCAAAAATCATAGTTTTGATTTTTTCATATGGTACCAACTACCTTTATATAGAATCCGCTACACATCTTGGAAAAGACTTAAAGAATGAAGAATTCTTGTTCAGAGCATAGAACGTGGAGAGCATATTTATCTCAAACAAAACAAACTGATAAGGATTAAAACTTTCCATTCCCTAAGAGAAGAATCATTGAAAAATCTCCACATAGATTCCTCTATATGTTCCCTATTTCCTCTTTAACCAAATGGTGAAAATCTCAATATTTACATCATAGCATCAGCCCTGAATAGCCTCTATCTGGCAGCTCAAACAAAGATTTTGAATAGAATCTGATAACCCTTTTACATTTTGGGTTCAATTGTCATGAATACTATATGGTGTCCCATGATATGCTTATTATATCCTTGTTATCTTAGAGCTGGATATCATACTTGTCTTGCATAGTCTTTGTTTAGAACACACAAAAAAATGAAGGTGAAAATAAAAAAGAAATAGCATAAAAGTGTGTTACCCTTATGGATGGAATGAGGAATGTAGAGTCCAATTAATGAGCCTAATTTTAACAGACAGTATTTTTTCCATTAAAATTTGCAAAAATTCTGGAAAAAATATAATAAATATTTAAAAAAACTTTTTAAACAATAGATGCTTAATGGATAATAATTGAGGCTTCTTTATTCAAAAATAGTATTTAATTTAATGCTGAAAGGAGAAACTACCTTAAAAAACAAAACATTAATATAAAAAAAAATTGAAAGGTTTCAGATTTTAAATTACATCCAAAGGGGCGTTTTTTTTTTTTTTTTAAGATTTTGTGTGTTACCTTTATTTATTAAATAGCATGTGCTTCGCACTTAAACCGCAAAATTCAGTTCAACGGCAATATCGGAAAATAATTTTAAAATGAGCATATCTTTAGAATTTTCTGTACAAAGTCTCACTGGAGATAAAAATGCTTTTTTTTTCCCTTGCAGTGTTGCTAATGCTTGGTTTGAAATCGTTTAGTTTTTTAATTAAAAATTTGTTGAAGTGTTATGAAATATGAAATTGATAATAAAACAAATTTCAAATTCAAATTAAGGCTTCCACATGCCCATATTCTATGGAAGATTACATTATCCAAATTTTGATGGCTTTTGATGGCTGTTGTTTTATTACAATGAGAGAAACATACATACATTCATGCAGATTTAATTTCTTTAAATAGAATACATGGCAATAATATTTGGTGGCAACAATCTGAAAAGGGAAACAACACTTATTGTGGAATACCAAAATGAAATTAACAGTCCTTCAGGGCAAATTGACCCTTTGGACTAAAAATAATAAAAGTAAAAAATTTTCTTTAAGATGACTTCTCATGATTCCAGATAACTTAAGCCTTAGATAAGATGACTATTCTTATCAGTTTGGATAATGAACTTACCCAAAGGCTAATGGAATAGTAGAGAAAAATACTGAAACAGAAGTACTGTATGACTTAATTTTTGGTCAGAGCTAAAATAAAAATTATTTTTACTTTCATACAATCCTCAATTACTAACACTTTATTGCATTTGCATTCATCTTGTTTTACACTTCTTTCATGTTCAACAAAGAAATTTTCTTCGTTAGCTCTAAATATTTAAGAAAATCATGAAGTGTAATTATAGTTAGCATTTATAATTTTGAAATTAAAGTTTAAATGATTTGATTGTCATTAACTAGCTGTAATTATTTAGATAAGGAAAAAATAAACCAACATTAATGGCATATTTGAATGACATGAGCACCCATGAACACTGATTTTTTTATACTACCATCTGTACAGATAATAAATGAAAACTTAGAATAAACAATAAAGGAAAAGGATAGTAGAGGAAAGTAGCAGAAAGCATTGCTTAATTTTGTCACAAATACAAAATCAAATTTTTTAATAAATCATGCTATGCTGAGAAAGGGTCAAATTAATGAACCAAAACAGGTATAAAACCATTTTTAATAAAAAGCTTTCTCTTATAATAAAAATCTCACACTGAATATCTGATATATGGATTTATTTAGTACATAAATGCCTTATTATTTTACACTGTTACCATAATTAGATATTTGTTAGTTGTCTTAGTATGTATTTGATGCCAGCTTAAGGGAATGGTTGTTTAAGAGAATATTATTATCATTATCAGCATTGATAACGATAATACTGATGTTAATGTAAGTTCTGAGAAATTCTGGTCACTTTTAAAAGTGGTCATCATTAGAGCGTTCACTGTATTTTTAAGATACCAGATCGACTTTGTTAAACAGTATAGGTTCAATACTACTGTTAATTTTAATATAAAAGACAATTTTGAGAAAAATCAAATTGTGTCTTCCACTCTTCTCTGTTCTCTTTCCCTCAAAAAGAAAGAGTATGCTTCAAATATTACCAGGTGATGCAAAAGAAACTTATTAAAAACTATTAATTCAAAACAGCAAGTATGACCATACAATGGTCTTATAGGCAAATAGACTTATCTGATAAATTATAAGTGTATAAATTTAAAATGAAATCTTTCGTCTTTCCCCAAAAAGGATTCAAGAATATTTTCATGATCATTACTTCACAGATCTAGCCCAAATGCGTCAATGAAGGAGGGAAAAAATAAAGGACATGAAACTCATTTTCTTCCCTACAGAACAACAAATGCCAAAAATTTTTGCTTCAAGCAAGAAAGCATATCTTCATTATAAGCTAATTTCAGTTAAAACACAATAGCACGCCGAATAAATAATAATTCACAAGTTAAACAACAAAAGTCAGCGTTATATTTACAAAATTTTCACAGGACTAGTTTCGATGGTTTTACCGAACCACCATCCTCAGCTGTAAAACCACAAATGAAAAGATAGGAATAATGTTAGAAAGATAGAAAGCGGACAAGAATAAGCAAGTGGGGCCATCTGTTGGGTGAAACTAAACTAAAACATAATTTCTTTAAAGGCCGAAGGCAATTGATTGGAATTAGGATCGTTAACTAGAACAAAGATTTTTATGAATGTGAATGCCTTTAGAAAATCCAGTTCCCAATGGAAAGATTTTTTGAATAATTTTGGCACAAAAAAATGAAAGTGTGGTTTGGGACCACATTTGAGCAACAGAAGACTTCTGTGTTTCCTTTTTTCTAACATATGCCTCATGTTCCTTGACGCGAAACTAAGAGAGCATTAAAATTTCGCGTCCTGTGAAAATTTTGTAAATATAACGCTGATTTTTGTTGTTTAACTTGTGAATTAATTTCAGTTGTGATATTTTTCTAAGCATTAGAAACATAACATCTCCTAGCTTAGTCACTTAAATAAACACAGGACTATAATAAAACCACACTTCAAAGTTTTATTACTTTCATTGAAAATACTTACTGCATAAAATTAATTTATTAAATGTCTTTAAAATGATTCATTAAAAGCCATTAATTTTTATATAAATCTAATTCATTTCCATGCTGCAAATGAATTATAGCGAAACTTTTTACTGTATCATCTCAATTGTTATTTCAAAACTTTATTATTAAAGTTAAATTTTAAGATGCATTTATGCAGCAATCACTACTTCTCCATCGCCTTATTCCACTTCCAGTTTATAATTTCTTTTGAATCAAATTAATCATTTCCATAACTTTTATACCTGGAGTCAGAGAATGTTAATACATCGGATTGATACTAAATGATTATTGTCTCATACAACTTATCTTCCAAAACAAAAACAGAAAAAAAAAATTGAAGTTATTCTACTTACTTTTTCATCCTAATCAGGAAACAATAAAATATATTTATGCAACACAATTGGTATTTATCAGTAACCAATAAACCACCTTTCCTACAACCTTTATCAGAGTTGCATGTAATGAGGAAAAAGAAGGGCCTTAAACAACAGAAAGAATGATAATATATATGTATGCATACATACACAGATATTAATAGAGAAAATGGTTACCTTTTAAGCTTCTTCCTGAAAGGTGATGTTCAAGTATTTCAAACAGAACAATAGCTACTCCATCATTTAATAAACTTTCTCCTTCAATAAGAATGGTAAAAGAATGAGGCATCCCTATTTTAAAAACAGACTCATTAAATATAAAACAAAAAAACTACTTTAATCATTAATAATAAAAAATTATAAACCTTTTAATAATTAATTTGAAAAAATTATTTTTATGATATAAAAGTACGACCTTTTAGAAATGTTTGATTATTTTAGAAACAGACTAATGATTTCTACAGGGTGGCCACTGAAAGACTGAGGGGTTTGAAAAATTCATAACTTGTTCATTTTTAACCTTCTTTACTTTTATTTATTTATTTTTAAAGTTTCTAAAATTCTTTTGTAGGGCATCTCTTGAAGATTGAAATGGCTATATATTATGTCCAGCAATGAGTAAAATTGAGTTTTTATATTCCAGTGAAAGACCACCACTGAATCAGCATGGCTATTAGAGCCTCTTCCCAAAAGACTGCAGACTCATCCTCTTCTGTCAAATTGGTAATTAGGCTCCAAATCATATTCTTGTCAGGAGATACTCCGACATTAAAATGTTATCAGCATTTTCTCCGAGTTTTAATAATTGATTTTCCAGTAGAATAGAAAACTGAGTTTTATTCATTGTTGGACATCATATATAGCCATTTTAATCTCCAAGGGATGCTCTATTAAAAAAAAAATTAAAATGAACAAGAATGAATTTTTTTAAACCCTTTCAGTGACCACCTGTATTTTATGTACACTTAAATATACCTTTGTAAAAGAATATTTGACATATACATATCTGTACATATGGAAAACACCTCTTCTTTATAGATTTACTAGATTTCTTATACATAATTAATATGGTATTTAAAATGAAATATGCTAAAAAATATTAATGAAAAAATGCTTTTGAATCTTACGCATTTCTTTTAGAAGTGCAACAACAGCAACAGGATCAGTTGCACTAACAATGACACCAAAAATAAATGTAGTGACCCAGCTCCAATTATATTTCACAAGAACATATTTTGCAAACAGAGCTGTGAGGGCTGTGCAGAACACTGCAATTCAAAATAAAGAGTTAAAATATTGCAAACATCAAATAATAATAAGCACTACATCCTATGCACACATAAAAAATAGAGTTAAGATGCTGCTTAAATGATAGCAAATGAATTGTTTCATAAAGTTATATACAATTCAGAGACATTTCATCAGCTAACCTACATACAGAAATCCATTGCATTCAGTGCAGACAATTATCATAAATAATTACAGCATTAAGCATAGGTTGAAACTAGTCAATAAGCATATTTTTTTCAGATTTTGACCATCAGAGTACCTTGAGAAGTAACTGCATATTTGACCAAACAATCTAGAAATATGAAACTATTTAACAAAAAACTACTTAGAAAAGAAGCTTACTTTTTCTTAGTATTCTCAATATGAAGAATTAGCACGAACAGCATGACTATAAATTCAAAGCAGATTGATTCTACAATAAGATTTTGAGAGGTGATGTTTTTAATGATAGAGTACCCATTATTCTAGTCCCTTAAAGGGACTAGTATAATGGTGAATACTTTAAAATTCAGACTGATTTTGCCTGATTTAATATTTTAAAATACTTTTAATAACTAAATAAAAGAAAATCTATATAATTTTAACCATCTCATACAATGAAAATAACTCTTATTTCTCTTCCTCTTCGGGTTTTTAAGGCATATAAGTCATGTTAACTGATATGTTACTAATTTGATTATTGCAATATAGATTGAGTTTGCTAGATCAACTGTCAATGTTTATTAAAAGTGAACCAAGGCATAAAACTGCTATATATATCAGTATCTTTTATAACTGTAGAGAACTGATCAAATGATACACCGAAGAGGACTAAATGCTAGATTAGAAGTATTATTAAAATCATGTCAGTGAAATTAATCTATTTTGTAAAAGGATTTTGTATTTCTGGTTCTTATGTATTATTCCGTTGACTCATGAAACTGCAGCCAAGTAAAATGGTTCAGTGTGAATAATCAATAACCATGACATAGCAACACGTTAACATCTGCACTTTCATTTGAAATAATCCCGACTGATTCTTGATAAGTCCTTTTTTGCTTTTAAGAATAAGGATATAAATTAAGTGTTATTGCTTTATTTATTTATTTATTTATTTATAGCATTTTGGAAAAAAAAAAAGTTTGAGGAGGACTGTAGAATCACATTTGTGACTGGTCAAATGAATTAACATCTGTTGAATGGTGAAAAAAACAGCTGGATACTGCCAACAAAATAGTAATAGATTGGAACACCACCTGCAGAAAGCTCGTTCTCATAGTGTAGTACACAAAGCTTCCAATAAAATCAGACGACCTAACAAAACAGTAGAAATCAATGAAAGCTTTTTTACAAAGTGCAAAAATGAAGTGGCTCAATTACTTCTATAATGGAGGCTATTAAGTACCTCTGTAGTTATTTCAGTGATAATTCACTGCATATTTGTTACGAGTTTGTATTTAGTTTATGCTCACAAAGCAAGTCAAACTCTATAATGTACTTTTAATATACAGTGGTGGCCAAAATTGTGGACACGTTTGAAAATTTTTATGTTTTTGAACTTTGTATGCTTATAGAAAACGTTACGTTTCACGAAATGCAAACTTGTATATATCATTTTAAAGAGAATTTATAACTGAATTCAATACAAAACACAAAATTCAATTATTTTCAATACAAAAAAGTTAAATGATAACAATTATCGATATACATTAGATAGTGATGATTGCAGTGAATTATCAGTACTTAGTAGGGTACCCTTTATTTTTTATTACAGCTTCACATCGACGTTTCATTGAGCTGACAAGAGTTTTAAGCTCTTCTTTCGTTATTACATGATGCCAGGAAACAATTATAGCCTCAATTAGTTCCCTTTTATTTGATGGGCGCCTCATTCAGACAAGAGTTTTCAAACAGTGCCACAAATTTTCGATAGGATTGAGGTCAGGACTGTTTCCTGGCCATGACAACAATTTAATGCTCTTTGTACGAAACCACTCTTTCGATATTTTGGCCATATGGCAAGGAGCAGAAGCCTGCTGAAAAATAAATGAAGCATTGTTGGGAAAGAAATCTCTGATGGAAGGTAGAAGTTTTGGTTTTATAATAGTGTCAATGTATTTTCTGGCATTCAGTGTTCCATTGATGACATGAAGACGACCAATACCATCTGCTGACATGCATGACCAAATCATAACACTAACTGGGTTCTTCACAGTTGCCTGAATGCAGCCAGGATGTAGCTCTTCTCCTATTCTACATCTTCCATTTTTCGCCCATCACTACCGAATAACAATATCTTAGTTTCATCACTTCATATAACTTGTGACTACTGATCATCTGTCCAATTAATGTGTTCCTTTGCCCACTGTAGTCTTTTTTTCCATTGCTGAAAATTAAGATAAGGCTTTTTTCGTGCAATTCTACCTCTCAGTCCAACATCTGTTAATCTTCTCCTGATTGTTCTTGAACTGACAGAAACACCAGCATTATTCAGATCACTTCTGAGGGCCGCTGATGACATTTTTCTATCTTGGAGACATAGTCTTTTTATTCTTCTGTCATCAATAGATGTGGTGCACCTTTTTCGACCTTTTCCTTCTTTGTTTTTTATTGAATTTGTCTCCTGATATCGTAAACAAAACTTTTGGAGTCCAGATGTAGTCACTGAACCACCCACCTGTCTTGCAATTTCAGCTTAAGAAAGACCTCTTTCTCGTAACACAATAATATTACATCTCTTTCTAGGTGTCCAATCTACTCTTTTATTTGATGTCATTGCTTCTTGACTAAATATTAAAAATTTTTACAAAAATTCCTACTTGTAATTGCAGTGTATAAGAAACTCCTTCTACAGAACAAAGTAAAATAATGAATTGTTTCAAGTGTAAACATGATGTCAGCTTCACTAGCGTCTAGACCCATAACCTCACTTTTGCTCATCACCCGGGTTTCGGAATGACAGAGGGAAGAAGGGATTTCGTCCAAGCGCTTACAAATGCTCATGTTGGATTGCATGCACGCACTCGCAATTGCTCATTTCGAAGACCTCGTGCTTATGTTACTATCGCTTGAAATACTAACGAATATGCGTTAGTGGTGCTATATTTACTTACATTAGTTTTTCTTAAACATAAAGTGGCTAATTTCATTCAATATACTGTGTACCATTAATTGTGTGTAAAATTTCCATTTGTAAATTGTGCCAAAGTTTGTCTGAATGCAAATATTTCGCATATTTATATTATCCAATATGAGCAGGCGATCCCATGCCAGCAGGTGACTGCATTTTGGCTAATTATTTGTTAATTAAAATCTCATCTATATAATGAGTAAATAAGGGGCATTATTTCGGACTTTTGTATGAGGAAAATAAAGAGTTTTGATTTTCATTAGCAGCTTTGATTTATGAATGTAAAAACCCTTCTCTGTACGAGATTGAAACTTTCAAAGCTATACAAGCATTTATTTTATTTAATATTTTGCTTATCTTACGCTTATTATCTTAATCCATACAACTAGTTGACGACTTTGTAAATTGGCAAAAATTGCGTGACTAACTTTATGGCTGATAGGTAATGTTCTGTTTTTAAATAAACAGGAAATTGAATGTGGAAAAAGAATAGACTTTATGTCTGTTATTTACATTTTAAGAGCAGGTAGCTACTGTTCTGCGAAATGACAGTTAAATGAAGCATGTTATTTAATTCCTGAAACACATGTGTGGTACATGCAAGCACGGATCAGCTGCTGTGGTCTTTATGCACAAAAAAATAATTTTAAAAAAATGATTGTAAATAAGTAGATTTTTTTAAAGGAGGCATAATAGGGCTATATTTTAAATATTTTTCCTCTTATCTTTGGTTTGGTCTGGCAAAATTTAATATTGACTTTCATTCCGCAAAAATAAAATTCTCGTAAAAAATTTGCTAGTCATTTTATGGAATGATTCATATTTATTAACTATTTAAGTGCATACACATATTCTATAAAAAGAAAGATTTTTCAAACATTTTCCTGTTTGGAGAAATTTATCTGATATTTCTTCCCTACGCTCAACCTCTTTTAATGTTAAATGTGTAACTGATTGTATCCCTCCCAAAATCTAAGATTATTTAGTACCATTCCATGTACATAAATCACATGACTGTTCATTACTGGAAGAAAAAAGAAAAAAATTAAAAGTAGTGAAATTTTACTACTTTTATTTAAATTTTTTTGGTCCACTGAAACATGCATTATACAAATTGTTATGTTATTTTAATGCATGTACACATCAAAACAAAAATGAAAAAGTATACAAGCAATACCTAAAGTAAGAATTGAGAGAAACATTATAGGAGTTAAACAGCTGCATTAAAAGTAACCAAAGAAATAAATAGCATATGTGTTATGATATTGATGAGGATAGAAAAGGCAACAAAAAGGTATAAAATGTTATCATCAGAAATATTTATATTGTTTGGTTTCTTTAATTATGACAAAGCACACTAAGGATATCTGCCTAAGGGAAGGGATGCTTTCGTGGAGACTTTCTAAGGGAAACTGGCCCTCATATACTTACACACAGGAAAACCACGAAAACGCCCTTGCAGCCAGCCCGTTCGCGGGAATATTCATATTGTAATCTTCCTACGCTTTCTAGCTGTTACACTCCATTATGCTGCCAGAAATCCAAAGCTCATGGCATGGCAACACTTGTTGTGAGATCTTTAGTTTATCATCTATGCTACTATGAGGAATAACATTCTTAGAGACATTTATTCATTATAGTGCATCTTAAATTCATATTAAATTAAAAAAATTATACATTGCTTATTTAATTGATTTAATATAATAATCAGACTTCTTGACAATTGATATTGAAGTGGTCCATGAATTGTGTGTAAAATCAATTCCAAGCGCTCTATATAATTTTTTATATTATTTTTTACTCTCATGAAAAATTGGGACAGTTGACATTATATATGCATTTTAATAATACCTAATCAGTATTATTTAT